CGGTCGCCGCACAGCGTCGAGTTCGGCTGGCCGCAGACGCTCTGCGCCCCGAGCCGCCCGCCGCCGCAGCACGCGCTGTCCACGTCGGCAAACCCTGCCGCCGGCGGGTCGGCTATGATCGCCCGCATCAGGCCGTACAGGTCGCCGAGGGAGTAGGTCAGGCCGTCCAGGCGGTGGTCATCGCCGGAGCCGAGGCTCGCCAGGAGAGACCTGAGCGCGTCGTCGAAGCCGGCGGCGAGCGCGTCGGCGCCGTCGTCGCAAGCGCCCGTCGGGCTCTGCAGGCGCTCTATTGGCGCGCACCCGATCCGGCCCACGTTGATCACCGCAAACTTCCTCGCACCCATCCCGTACAACCCCTGCGTGAAATTATAAATTGTTACTGTCTTTTTAACGAAATAAATTTGTTATCAGTCATCTTGTTTTAATAAATGTCATATATATGTTTAGCTGAAAATTAAAAAAATCAGGAATTTCAGTTTTACTGTGATGGTGGCTGAGTAGTTGGAGATGAGGTCGGAGTAGAAGGCGGCGACGACGGCGTGGCTCTGCATCTGGCCATTGTTTGCTAATGATGTGGCGAACACGGCCATGTCGTTGGTGCCGATGGCGATGAGGAAGAGCGATTTGGAGAGCAGGTGCTTCGCCGTGGTGGCACCCAGTTTTAGTACCATCTGAACCTTGGTCGCATCGAAGTTGCGCACTTGCTTTGACAACGGGATGTTCTTCCCGGCGAACTATATATGCAAATACAGTACAAATTAACTAACATGCATGATGGTCCGAGCAAATTGTACGGCTAGCGCATGATGTCAAAGTCACATGTGCTCAAAGTCAGCGTTGAGATATATCTCTGTCTGTCTGTCTCCGTCGGTTCCTTGGACATGCATGAAGCATGAGCTGGTTAATAAGTTTGACCCGAAAGATATGATGATCTCTGAAGTCTGACCTCGCTCGCGCATGCAACGATATGCGTGCGCGAAATCACACTTATCATGCCGAAAGATAACTCATGTAATTAATTTCGCTTTTTTTTACAGATTTGTGTGATCTGAACTTTGTGGCTGCTAGCAGCTACTACTCGATCGGCTGCACAGTTACGGTAGAAATTAACACATTTTTTCCTCTGCAACGACACATTATATATGCTGAAATAAAGCTGAATGATAACTTACAGTGGAGTCGAGAATCCCAGCTCCTCCAGAAGCATAGTTCACTCCGCCGATGCCCCTGGCGACGAGACGATGTCGTCGGCCGGAGCGCCGCGAGAGCAACAGGTACGCCGGCGGGCTCCTCTTGAACCCCATAGCCTTCGCTGCACCCATTCATGTCCGTCTGGCGTCAGCTCGAGCTCCCCCGTGCTAGGCAGTCGTCGCGCATACCACGAAGTGCACACAGCCAGAAACAAATAAACAACTCCAGCGCGCCGTCGATCGAGAGGGAGAGAGAGTACATACCAACCAAGTCGGCGACGTTGTAGCCGTTGCTGAACCTTCCGGTGGGTCTGGCGCCGCCGGGGAAGTCGACGCCGTAGTAGGGCATGTTGGCCCGGGGGACGTCCGCCCCCGGCAGGTAGTTGTTGTTGCCCACGTCCAGGAGCGAGTCCCCGAACACGTACACCGCCGGCACGGCCGTGGTCGTCGGCCGGAGGGCGCCGGCGGCGGCGAGCGCCGCCAGTTGGATGGATATCGTCGTCGCCATCGCAAGTGTAACGGCGGCACCAATACCACCGTTGATGGCTTGGTGGCGCCGCATGGTCGTGGTCGTTGGTCGTCTGCAGGCTGCAGTCTGCTAGTTGATTCAATTACAGAATGCTTAGGAGATGATCCATTCGCTGACATGATGCCTAATAAGAGGAATATCATCAGCAATTCAGCATAGCCATCGTGGCATTGACTCTGCAGCTGCACCTCCCCTGAAAGTGACGGCAAGAGTTTTAGTCGACAAATTTATCAGTATATAGTAGGAGGAGAGAGATCAAAGTTATAAACAAAACACAAAAAATGCATGGAAACGTGATTTCTACCCGGCTATTTTCTCGTATCCAGCTTTTAGTCAAACACATGGAAACGGCCTAGATCTTGACGTTTTCGACTTCATAAGAGCATCTCTTGCACTGCTACCTAAAACAGGGTCCCTACTTTTGTATTTCGGATTTCGGTAGCCACCTATTTTGATACTACTTATTCTTTTTGTTATTTTAACTCTAACCCACCCCAACTTGCTTGAGACTAAAAAGCTTTGTTGTTGTTGTTATTTTGTTATTTCCTCCCGCAGCACTATCTAAAATAGACCTCCAAATTCGTCCTAGTACAGAATGACATGTAGGATGCACATATCATCCTCTTCATTCTCTTATCGCCATAGAAAAAACTCGGCCATCTCCCTGCAGACTCGCCATGGCCTCCGGGAAAGAGCCAGCTGGGAGGTTGCGACGGTAGGGAGGAGGCGCCTGCTGGGGAGAGGAGGCCGTGGTGGAGGAGGTACCTACGCTGGGGAGAGGAGGCCATGGTGGAGGAGGTGCTGGATTTGCCTGTCGGACCTGGAGATGGCCGTGGAGGTGCGGGACTGGGAGAGGAGTGGTCGGTGATGGTCGTGTGGAGTCACAGCGGCAGTTGTGGAGGCCGGATCTGCCCTCGTCAACCTGCTGTCATCACCGGTGGCGATGGAGAGGGGCTCGACGGCGGTGGCGTTGTCGTGCCCGGGCTGTCCTGCAGTGGCCGAGTGGAGGCGCGGCTTGCCCTCGGTGTGGCCAAATGTGGTGGCGGGGGGTGCGAACGACAGTGAGTGAGGCATGCAACGGCGGCGGAGCGTGTGACCGCGAGGGAGGAAGAGAGTGCACACTAGGCGCGGGTGCTCGCAGTGGGGGGGGGTGTTCCAACGAATTTTTAGGTCCCCATGTGTTCGCCAGGAACCAGGAGGAGGAGGAGAAAAGTAGAGGGCCAATAAAAGTTGGTCCCCTAATAGGTAACTTGTTGGAGTTGATTTTTTTTGTTCCACTGCTAAACAATAAAGTAGGGGCTTTGTTTAGATAGCCTGCTAGAGAGAGCGGGCTAGGCTGACTAGCCTATAAGGAATCTAACAAGGGGTGCCTCACTGACATGGTGAAGGCATATAATGCAAGATAGAGTGGAGATCATGGACTGGTGTGGGGTAAGAAGTATAGAGATGGAGCGACAGAGGCTCATCTATATATGGCCCTACCCTCGCTAGGATGCGCTGCTCAAGAGCTTAGCCATGAGGATCTATCCTGGCATGCGACATCAGGGTAGAGAGTAGGTAGGGAAAGGGACCCATTTGGACCCCGAACGACACTCTATGTCAAATTAATTAAGGGACCTAGCAAATAATATACTAGGACAAATAAGGGGCTTGAAAGGGAATTTGAAGAGTTTTGGGACTTGGATGACATTAAAAGACAAAATTATGAAATTAAAAAACGTATTTTGAGAGTTTGAAAATCTGAATGACATCTAATATATGACAAGTTCAGTGATCACCTTGAAGAAATAGATTCACTCACTGTGGAACGTAAATGTTGTTTCATTTACTTTGAGTTGTAATTATTGCTATGGGTCACATTATCACAAGAATAAACAAATGAAGCACGCACGCAGGCACGGAAGAAATACATAAGCACATACAATATTTCCATTTTTCTTTAAAAAAAAGAGAAATCACTGGCCGATCGAGGGGCCTCGGAATGATTAACTAACAATCAACTACTCATCATGTTGGCCAGCTGTTTGAAGCTGATGGGCGAGGTGTACTGGGCCGGGCCATCAAAGTACGCCTGGGCGCCCAGCATGGCGGCCCGCTGCGACGGATGCACTGAGTCCCAGAAGATGTAGCGGTCGCGGGCGGCGCACAGCGTGGCCGTGGGCGTGCAGTCGCCCTGCGCGCCCAACCGCCCGCTCCCGCAGCAGGCGCTGTCGGAGCTCACGAACCCTAGCCCCAGCGTGTTGGCGAACGTCGCTTGCGTGAGGCCGAAGCTGTCGGCGACGGAGTAGGCGAGCCCCGGCAGCTTCGGGGCGAGGGCGGCCATGGTAGACTTGAGGGCGGCGTCGAAGCCGGCGGCGAGCTGGTTCATGCCGTCGGCGCACGCGCCTGTGGCGTTGAGCACGCGCACGCGGGGCACGCAACCGACGGGACCCACGTTGATGATGCCAATCTTCCTCGCGCCCAGCTTGTACAGCTCCTGAAATGTATATCATGTGTATACATGCATTAGTTATGTGTAGGTATATATAGATTTTTTTATGGCTTTTTGAAGCAAGAGATGTATATGTATGTGCATGTATTTATAGGTTGTATGATTTACAAATAGATGGCGGCTAGCATGCAAGGTCAACGAGTATATACATAATTGCATCATCAATATCTATATTCTGGATATCTCAGTCCACCAAATGAACTGCAAGTCTGATGCCTATATGGCATGCAGTGTCACCTTGGGTAGGCTATATACGCGTCTGCTTTCTGACAAAGACACACTTGTATTATATATGTTATACTGTTCAACTTGTTATTTTTTGGTTTGGAAGACATGTTCAACTTGTCATGGTAAGTAACAAACAAGATACTACAACATACATTCATATAATTAACCTAGTAAATATTATTGTGTCAGCTAGGTATAGGTAGCTTTCAAGCAAATGACCTACATATTGACAGGTCCGGGGCATAGTCTATTCAACAATAAAGCGATGTAGAACATGCCAGAGGACATATACAACTCTACAAGAGAATGATTGCATGCAAAATAAAAGCAGGTAAGGATTGGTCGTTGTCATATATACCGTGATGGTGGCGGAGTAGTTGGAGAGGAGGCTGCCGTAGAAGGCCGTGACGTCGCTCTGCGTCGCCGTGCTGTTCGTCGCGAAGGCGAAGAAGTCGTTGCTGCCGGCGCCGACGAGGAAGAAGGACTTGGAGAGCAGCTTGCTCACCGCGCGCGGGCTCAACTTGGCCTCCATCTCGACCTTGGTCGACTCGAACAGCCGCACCTGCTGCGACAGCGGGATGTTGTTTCCCGCGTTCTGCACGCAATGCATGGATTGGATGCAAATCATATTATATTAATTACTGTATTGAAATTAATTATATAAATGTATATGTTGTATATTACGATATATACATGTACACAAGGTGGTTAGCGGATTACGTACAGGATCAGTTAGTATTATTGTATTATATGTCATTAATTACACGTACGCAGATCACTTGCATAGCGACGTCGCCGGAGTAGTTAGTACTTAAGTATATATGCTCTCGTCATGCACTCGTGCGTGGTGTGCACTACTACATGATAATCGTTATCTGTGGTACTGGTTACATTCTTCACACCTAACCTGCCCAGCTTGTTTATTACTACTACTTTCATCCAATTGCAAGTATATATATCCATCTAGGTTTTTCATTCTAACTTTGACCAGCAATCAGGTTTATTTCCTGAATGTGTTTCTGCTTTTCTTAACATGTCTCAAACTGTTGAATTTCCTTTAGCTGGTTAATGAAAATAGGAAATGCCTCGGTTAGAGAGGAAAAACCTTGACTAGCAATATCTATAAATATATGCATCATCTTAATCTTGAATGAATAGAGTTAAGAAGGGTTTTTTAGTGAATCTTGTGATATGAAAATCTTATATTGTTAATCTCTAAAAAAATTTTAGACATTAAAGGTCAGAAATAAAAGGTTTAGCAAACTGAGCGTAGCTCAGCTGGTTGTGTTGGAACCAAATCCAGGATTTAACCGTATGGTTCTGTCAGTGGTAGAGACCGTCAACAACCATGTGTCCGTGGTGACTTTGTCAATTTCGAGACCTCCTGGCTTAATCTTTCGGATATGCTCATAGGGGATTAGGGGTGTATATGCACATTAATTCATAGGAGTGAGTGTATGCGCATGTATTAGTGTGTACACCAATTCTGTGTAATTAAAAAAAACTGAAAAGGTTTAGACTTCGGACAAAACTACTGGGTGGACAAATTAAATATGTCCCAGGAAGTAAGATGAAGCTAAGTATCTCTGTATATACATCATGCATATTATTATATTCAACACGTTAAGATTTGCACAATTCTTTTTTTTTTGCACTCATAACTCTTTTCATTTTTAAGATTAAGTTTCTACACTCTCTCTATATAATAGAAAGAATAGACAAGTGACGTTTAATTTTTCAGGAATGGATCGGAGAGAACTGGAATGGTCAGTTTTACTTACAGTGGAGTCGAGAATCCCAGCTCCTGCTGATGAATAGCTTACTCCTCTTGTGATGGCGCTCGGGATTAGCTTATTCTTCGCTTTCAGCTCCAGATAAGCAAGAGGGCTCTTCTTGAATCCCAGAGCTTTTGCTGCGTAGTACATATATACATATGCATCATAATAATATGTATGTATAAGCACCAGTGATTAATGAATAGACAAGATAAATATAAACTTCCCAAAAGCATCATTTCTTGTTCTTGCATGCTTACCGACGAAGTCAGCGGTGTTGTATCCGTTGCTGAACCTTCCGGTGGGCTTGCCGGAGCCCGGCAAGTCGATGCCGTAGTAGGGCTTGTCAGCCCTGGGGACGTCCTTCCCCGGCAAATAGTTGTTGTTGCCGACGTCCAGCGTCGAGTCCCCGAACACGTACACCGCCGGTACCACCGCCGGCAGCAGCTTGCTCGGCCGGATGGCGGCGACGGCACCGACCACGAGGCTGAGGACAAGAACCTTCATGCCCACCTCGTACCCCATCATCGAATGAGTGCTAGCTTGTACACAGCTTAATGAGCTAGCTAGTAGTAGTACTATATCTCGCTGATGAGGATGCTTAGCTTAGCTTGTGTGCGAGTTAGTTGATGTGGCCAATCAAGGTGCACCTATATCTATATATAGGCAGTGTCTCCCAAGGTTTTCAACTCATCTTTTTTTAAAGAAAAAGTTTTCAACTCATCGACCAGCAAGTCCCGGTCTTAATCATGCATTGTTGTATTCTTTTACTACCCACCATACACGCAGCCTGCCTGCATGCTATACACATTTATATATATACAAATCATGAGCTACCAAGCTGAAGACGAGTCAGGAGATCGAGTTCATGTCCAATGAAAAAAGTTCGTTCTTCTTATCTCTCTGACACGATTACAAGTGATTATAGTGAGAAATGGGCACGCTCTTTACGTGTGCGTTTACACCCTGTCAACATCAAATAGCTAGGTTACCGTGTCGCTTGATTTACGTACATGTGATGTATGACTAATTAATCTCGGATCTCGATGCAAAAAAAAGAAGAAGAAGAGAACTAAAATCGTACCATCATGCATTTTCTTGGTCAGCATCTCGACCGGTTCGTTAACGTGTCGGCTATGTCTTCTTCGTCTACTTTAGGCCTCGTTGTCTAGATATCCTCCTTTTCAGCGGTTGGTTTCCGTTATTTTCATACATACGTGTAGCTCGATCCTGTTCTCGATTGTGTTTGACCTCGCTTAGTTTATACACAACTTTTATAATGATATATAATGACGAACAAGCAAGGTATATAGTCATGTACTATTATAAATTTAAAAATCAGAGTCATATGAGCATGCACAGTTAATTCAAAGACGAACTGTGTATCGATTAGGTTATCACCAATTAAACTAATTTGTATATCGATCTGATGATGGCTACAATCAGGTTATGTTCTACTGCCTTCGTTCCAAATTATTGTCTACTTTGCCTTTGCCTTAACAACATCTCTTATTTTGACCATTTTTTTTGAAAAAAATATTAGCATCTATAAGTTCAAACAAATACACTATCAAGACATATTTCATCGAGACTTTATTTAGACTAATTTTATATTGCAGGTGTTGTAACATTTATCTATAAATTTGATTGAAGTGAGAGGAGTTGACTTAGGATAAAGCTAAATAGACTATATATAATTTGGAATGGAAGGAGTAGTAATTAACTCTTCACATTTGTTTTGTCTTGTTGTGCATAACTTATAGTTACTTCCATATATGATGCTTGAGACAAACGAATGAGCTAAAAATAGTTTGAATTCATGGTGTCAAACATCACAACATGTTTGAATTTTCACCATTTACCATCTCTTGAAGCTGTTGTCTTTGTTCCATTGTTTCCCCATAGTACTTTCTTCTCCATATTTGGGGACCTTCCATTATTCTTTTGCTCCCACATCTCCACCACTTCTATCCTTTGTGGCTTCCACGCTACTATACTTCGCCCGCCGCTAGTTATTAACCAATACCTTGATGTTTTCCTAATCCCACCCTAAACAAATCCCACCAACAAAACCTCAACCATTGATGCCCCACCAACCGCTCACCATGGTGTTGACCCTACTTCGATCTCGAGATTCCACAGGTTAGAAAAGGGGAGAAGAGCTCGCTCCCTAACCCTAGCCACCTTGAAGTTTCTAAACTTGCCCCCTCCCCCAATGGAAATAGATTGGAAAAGATAATGAGAGAGAGAGAGAGAGCCAAGGGAGGCAGTGCTTTGTTATGGACAAAGATGTCCATGCTCCCCATGCCATTAGAAATCATCTCAGGTGCATTTCAAAAAAAAAAAAAGAAATCATCTCAGGTGAACATTAAACTTCACCGCCAACATTCTAGCAAAACATTAAATAGAGTGAGTTTTGGATTTAGTATCTAAATTTGCCCCCTTTGGAATTATTTTCAAGCTCCGTCGGCACTGGGAGGCTACAACGTCATGGAACCATGAGAAGGGTCACGGGAGGAGGCAGTGTTCCACTTATTGTACTAGTATATTGCCCGTGCTAACGCTACGATAACATCTAGAAAATAAATAAATCATAAAACTACATTTAGATAGCAAGTCAGATCTGCAGCTCCATGTTGCTTCTGAATACTGACATAATAGTAATATAACTATGGTACTGATACTTCTAAAAGAAAACTATTGCCTAGAGTAGGAATCTGTAAAGACTTGGAAGCAACCAGCAAACACTAATTCCTTCAGATTCGAACCATGTACAGGAATGAGCCCCTTCACAAACTTGTCACACACACATTGTATTCCAGACATTGACAAAACCTCTAGATGATTATTCTTCTATAGAGCAGGAAGAATCAGCATAGCATCCACGTTTGTGCAGTCATCTATATACAAGTTCTCTAAGAACTGAATGTCGATTCCAGGTGAAGTGAGAAGAGAACACTCACACAGATTTAGGGAACAACCTGATAGCTCTCAACTTACAAATTTAGGGGTCAGCCTGATAGCTCTCTCTTTTTCTGTTTGTTTTCGATGTGACTCCATAGAAGCAGAAACTGATCCTGAGTTGTGCTGAATCTCTTTGGAATCCACGGGATCGAAATCTGGCTCGTCCTCACTTGAGCTCAGAGATGATAGACTATCTTCTGCAACCATCTTGACCCTAAACATTTTGTATAACAATGGCTAACTAAGTTGATTCAGACATAATAACCTCACAGATTCAACAAAGGAACCCCACTGAAGCTATTATCAGTTTTCACTCAGATAGTGAAAGAGCAACACCAGTGTTCCTTAATAAGGAGCCCACCCACTCAAAATTTCTGCCATCAAACAAAAACTCTGGAGTCACTAATGCATTCAGGGTCTATTTTTATCAAGTGAGTTATTCTCAAATTCTCATACCCAAGCACTAATTTGGAGCAAGGGGAAAGAAAATACCTCACTGCAGTTTGACACTGCATGCAACAAGAAAAGGTAGTATCATCGCCACTGGAATACGAACCTGGGCAATATTGAGAAAATAACAGCAGTGAGCTTTTGTTCTTTTTGGAAAGGGCATAGCAAGTTATTTTTATGTGCATCCCTAAAATATTGTTAGAAAAAAAAATCATACTATGCTTAAGTTATTACCTTGCGGCTGCAATCTCAAGCCAAACAGTTAAGCATGAGAGAGGAGTTACATCTGGAAACCATGAAGCAATCATGGCAAGCAAAGACCACTGCATTTATTTTGCTTTAATCAGGAGTGCCTCCCCAGTTTTTTTGCTTTTCACAGACTCCAAGAATGCAGAAAAGTTCCATGGAATTATTGCCATCAACAGTAGCAAAAGATGAATCACTGCTTTCCTTCGAAGTGACATCATATTTTTCATAGTGGTCGGTATGTGAATCCTCAATCTTGAATCCCTGATCTCTTTGGCTGCCTGAACAGTGAACACAACAACGACAGGAATAAATTAGTTCATGGTATTCGCAACAAGTTATCATCAGAAACCCTAAAATACAAAGCTTAAAAAATTACCACTTCATAACAACTTCAATAGGAGATCCAGCTATCTGAGCTTCTGTTAAAAAACTAACCTGCCAAAAGGCACGATTACAATCAGTGTGTAGACTTATCTAAATAACAAAAAACCTAAATAACATACCATATGAAATTATGAACGAACAGACAAACTAAACAGTTATGGATTATATATCACTATATCAGTAGCTGTAATTAGTAATACACTGATAAAAATTATTAGCATCACATATCTACAAGACAAAATTACCAGCAATTTTGATATTGCTAAACTGAGCGGAAGGTGCATAGCAACATTACCTACTTACCAAGCTCTCCAATTGCTTCTGCTGGATTTGCAAGTCCAGGTACCAATGCAGACACAAAAACAAGTTAGTTCCTCCCTAACCCTCCATCTCTACAGAGGAAACCAACAAACCGAGACCAACTGCAGGGGCGGATCCGATAACTTTTACAACAAAACCGAATTTTGCAGGCAAGATACATGTACATGCTTGTAATTAGATCAGATCCGAGTACACGGAATAGCTTAAGCTAGGGTTTGGGTCCTCGGCATCGCACAACTGGGAGAACAGATAAGGGATGGGCATACCTATTGGTAGGTCGTCGCTGACGAAGGGTCCGGCGAAGACATGGTGAAGGGCCCGACGAAAACCTGGGCAACTGTCGTTCGACGCCGAGGACGGCGGGGGCGACCGGAGCGGGTGGCGCGCCGGCTTCGAGACGGCAGTGAGCATCAAGCGCATGGAGCCACGGGCGAGCCGGACAGGATGGCCTGTCGTCGCCGTGCGTTCCAGGTCCCGGCCCTGCCCCCGCCCCCGCCTCCATCTCCACCACGATGCAGCGTCCTCAGACCCAGCCCGCATCACGGGGCCAGCCACGAAGCTGCCCAGGGGGAGAGGCGCTGATGTGGCTACACTACGAGGGGCTCGAGAAAGTGGAGAGCGCAGCGGAGGCATCGGCGACGCGCATGAGGGAGGACGCGTCGCGGGCCTCAAGCGCCGCGAGGCCCTCAGAGGTTGAAGGGTCGGCGGCATCTAGGGCTTCCTCGAACTCAGTGACCGCCGCCTCCAGGACTCTAGTCCCTGGATTCTCTCCCTCCCCAAATCTTGTTTATTTCGGAAGAGAGAAGAAAATGGGGCGCGGGTTGGGAATCGAACCTGGCTCGAGTGCTGCATGGTGCGGAGGTGGAAGCCTGGCATCACACGTCGTGGCCATCCGATTTGGTTTGATGCGCGTGGGAGGTCCGCGGGAGAGCAATAGAGGACTGGCACACTAAACATGAGCTGTCGGATTTAGATGAGTAACGAGAGAGAATGGCTAAGAGATAATCTGGGGCATCCGTTTTGATGGTGCTATATTTTCTGGGTGCATTCATAGGTGTGGATGTAGTATAGGTCATGACTGTGGAGTATGCATTTGTTGTGTGGCTGTAGATTTATTCTAACTGATATATTATAGGGTATGGTAGATTAAGAGTGGTTTTGCATGCACTTAGGAAGTAGGGACTAGAATGTATATACTCCCTTCATCTTATGTCAAACATTTGTAAGTTTGACTAAATTTATAGAAAAACGATACAAGTTTATGACACCAAATTAGTATCATTAGATACACTATAAAATATATTTTCATAATATGTTAATTTGGTGTCATAAATACTTAATGCTCTTTCTGCAATGTAAACAATGTTTTGTTGTTGATTCCATGGTAAACCACTGTCGTCTGAAGAGCCGACCGTCCTTACAAATAAATTGATTTTACACTAACTTATTGAGTGTACAAAACTCTTCACAGACTTCAGACTTGCCCAATGAATTATTCTGAACCTGAATCCAATCCACCCCGTTGCTACTGGGGAAATTAAATGTGACTAACAAATACCACCAAAAAAAACCAACCATCTGAGCATGTACCCGTAATTACTTATAACAGTGAGCAAAAATACTCAATGTGGCTGGCTTTGAGCAAAAATACTTATAATAGTTTCTTAATTTATTTATTACACATTGTAGATTGTAGATGAAACTAAACACAACACACAGTGTTTTTTTTTCCAGAAATAAATAGGGAGTCGTTGGTGACTTACAGTGGCGTCGAGGATCCCAGCTCCTGCCGATGCGTAGCTTACTCCTCTAGTGATGGCGCTCGGGATCAGATAATTGCGCGCTTTGAGCACCATGTAAGCCAGAGGGCTCTTCTCGAATCCAAGATTCTTCGCTGCATCTGTATGCAAGCACATGTATCAACGAAAAGGGGTTCTATTACCCTATTACACAAGCTAATAAGCTAAAACATTTATAGTACTATATAATCGTCTATATATCCTGCCAAAGTTTTACTCTGCTAGTATGCATGGTATACTTAATGGTAGTCATCAGAACTCTAGACTCAGAAAGGGAATGTATATTACCAACAAAGTCTGCGACATTGTAGCCATTGCTGAACCTTCCGGTGGGCTTGCCGGAGCCCGGCAAGTCGATGCCGTAGTAGGGCTTGTTGGCCCTGGGGACTTGCTCCCCTTCCAAGTGGTTGTTGTTGCCCACGTCCAGGGTGGAGTCCCCGAACACGTACATCGCCGGCACCCGCGGCCGCTGCACCGGCAGCTCTACGCCGCTGGCGACGACGACGCTGAGCACCATGCTGCTCAGAACAAGAACCTTTCATGGCAACAAGCCCATAACCCATGGCGGTACGGTCGATCGATCCCTGTTCCCTGCAAACAAATCTAGCTAGCTCTAAAAGTTCTAACAATATGCACTATGCAGGTGTGTGTGTGTTGAACTACACACACTGTGTGTGTGCGTGCTATTTCTGATGAGGTTGTGGCTTGGTATGACTAAGGGGGAGCTATTTATAAGCACTCTCAAAGGCTTTAAGATGATGCCCTGCTATCTAGGAAACTTCTCGTGGTGTAAAAGTGAATGTGAACGAATGAGCACGTTGTATTTACTGGTTATCTAGTCAAATACCCGCATTGGTAGGTGGCATGGGGGATTTTTTTTTAATTTTAACACTTTTTGAAAACTAATTTTAAATCTAACACTGTCTGTTTTTTTAAACTAACACTTTTAGCTGAGCCTATTGCCCTGGCGCGGCCAAATGCCTGTGCCGCGCCATGCATGGTGGCGCGGCAGAGGGCTGCCGTGACGGCGACCGGAATCGCTGACCGATGACGGGGCAGGGTCTGCCGCGCCATCTACCTTGGCGCGGCAGTGCCGCGCCCTGATCCGTGGTGCAGCAGAGCCGAATGAAACCCCGCGGCCAGTCCCGCCTGCCCGAGCAGCAAGCCCGCCTGGCCGCCGCGCCCGCCGCCCGCCCGGCGGTACCTAGACGGTTTAATCGGAACGCGTCGCGTCGATAGTGAGAGTTATTCTAAGTATTGCTTGATGTAAAATTAATAGTGGATTTGTTTCTGTCTTTTGTTAAAAAAATTTCACGGCCGAATAGAGAATTTGATAAGCCAATGATATTTTTTTCGTCTTTCATAATACGGTTAACCACCATGTTAACTAATCGATTATGAAAAATTGGATCGGATTGAAACGAATATTTTTGAAGAGAACTTATTTCTTTGGCTTTTTGGCCCCATACTGTAGGATCGGCGGCGACGCGACCATGGGCACCGGCTTCCTCGACCCCTCGCGCAAGACGCCGACCACCGGCGTCGAGATACCCCGGGACTGCCGGTTTCCGAACTAGTTGCTACTTAATCTCGCATGCAGTGATGCCATGACGCATTGAAACGAATATGAAGCAAATAAATGAAGTCCGTGTGCAAGTTGACAAGCTGCCACATAACATTTTCATTGGTTTGACATAAGTTCGACATAACATAACCAACTAAGCCTGCAAGTTTCGAACGCCAATAATAGTTCGACCTAACAAACTAAGACCCAGGAGTGTAACGATCCCTCGGACGCCTCTGTCTCTTTGATTTGTTGGCAACTAATTGGGAGTGTAGCCAACGTCGGTGTGGTCGCGTCACCGGTGCGTACAGCTCGTACCCTGCAAGTATATGATATGCACGATTACTTATAATCTTTATGATCGTTAGTTCATGGAGTCTACATATTTAAAGAAACTACCTTTATTAGTACATATGAAGCTCCTTGGGTACCAAGCGGAGCACCACCTAGTTGAGACATGCCGATCTCGTCCTACGGCCAATCATCCCACTGGCCTGCTATCTGCGGAAACCCGGGGGGTCGTCGTCGTCATCGTCGTCCTCGGTTGCAGGGTCCTTCCTAGCACTATGATGTGGTGGTGTACGCACTGTGGAAGTGGCACCTGTCACCGGTTGAGAAGAGCCGGCTAGTGTCCTCAAAGAGGCTAAAGACGTGCAACCCAACCGCGCCGGGAGTGGCGGTTCCACATAAGGAGTGTCCATGCAGCTCAGCTTCTGAGCTAGCTTCCTGCAGCTCTTCTTCAACTTCTGCATAAATAGATGTTAAAGTTAGTGCATTTCCCAAACGCATATACACTAAAGAAACATTTTCGGAACGGACAAGTGAAAGGTCATAATGGCTAGAGGGGGGTGAATAGCCTAATAAAAATTTCTACAACAATGGTTAGACAATTATGAGGCGAAGCAAGTGTTACGCTAGCCTACTCAAAATGCAAGCCACCTACCACAATTCTAGTTTAGATAGTGTCTATTCACACAATAGCTATGACACTACCTTATGCTAGTGTGCTCTCAAAGGCTAACTAAAGAGCCACACCAACCAAGCAAGCAAGCTCTTACAACTAGCTACACTAAAGAGCTTGTCAACTAGTTTGTGGTAAAATAAAGAGAGTGATCAAGAAGGTTATACCGCCGTGTAGATAAAGAAATCACTCAATCACAAGGATGAATAACAATGAAGACCAATCACCTCGGAATCAATGATGAACACAATGATTTTTACCGAGGTTCACTTACTTGCCAGCAAGCTAGTCCTCGTTGTGGCGATTCACTCACTTGGAGGTTCACACGCTAATTGGCTTCACATGCCAAACCCTCAATAGGGTGCCGCACAACCAACACAAGATGAGGATCACACAAGCCACGAGCAATCCACTAGAGTATCTTTTGGCTCTCCGCCGAGGAAAGGTCAAGAACCCCTCAAAATCACCACGATCAGAGCCGGAGACAATCACCACCCTTCGCTCAACGATCCTCGCTGCTCCAAGCCGTCTAGGTGGCGGCAACCACCAAGAGTAACAAGCAAAATCCATAGCGAAACACGAATACCAAGTGCCTCTAGATGCAATCACTCAAGCAATGCACTTGGATTCTCTCCCAATCTCACTATGATGATGAATCAATGATGGAGACGAGTGGGAGGGCTTTGGCTAAGCTCACAAGGTTGCTATGTCAATGAAAATGGCCAAAGGTCACAGCTTCAACCGTCCATGGGGCTTAAATAGAAGCCCCCATGAAATAGAGCCGTTGGCTCAAATATTTGGCTGACTGCGCATCGACCGGACGCTCCGGTCACAATGCACCGGACGCTCCGACCATGAATACCGGATGCATCCGGTCAGCCTACCGGACGTGTCCGGTAGCTCCTAGACTACCACGTGTCCAGTTGAAACCAACCTAGCCATTGCTGCCCCTTCTGCCGACGACCGGACGCTCATACCGGACGCACAAACACAATCAACCGGACGCGGAGCCGCCGAGTCCAGTCGAGTCCAGTAAGCCACCAGGGCCGACCGGACGCGTCTATTAGAAACTGACTGGACCCGAGCCTCAACGTCCGGTGGAGTACAGTAAGCATCCACGCTCGACCGGACACGTCCGGTCACAATGGACCGGACGCTTCCAGCGTCCGATCAACTACTCTGCCGAACACTGCGTTTGCTGATTCATACCAGACGTGTCCGGTGTGGAGACCGGACGCGTCCGGTCGCTGAGTTCGTCGCGAAATACTGGACGTGTTCGGTCACCATACCAGACGCATCCGGTCACTTTGTAACCAACGCGACTAGCTCCTTTTCAACTCTATCTTCTTCACCCTTGCTCAAATGTGCCAATCACCAAGTGTATCACCTTGTGCACATGTGTTAGTATATTTTCACAAACATTTTCAAGGGTGTTAGCACCCCACTAGATCCTAAATGCATATGCAATGAGTTAGAGCAACTAGTGGCACTTTGATAACCGCATTCCGATACGAGTTTCACCCCTCTTAATAGTACGGCTATCAATCCTAAATGTGATCACACTCTCTAAGTGTCTTGATCACTAAAACAAAATAGCTCCTATGGTTTATACCTTTGCCTTGAGCTTTTTGTTTTTGTCTTTCTTCTTTCCAAGTCCAAGCACTTGATCATCATCATGCTATGATCTTCATTTGCTTCATCACTTGGAGTGTGCTACCTATCTCATGATCACTTGATAAACTAGGTTAACACTTAGGGTTTCATCAATTCACCAAAACCAAACTAGAGCTTTCAATCTCCCCCTTTTTGGTAATTGATGACAACCCTTTCACAAAGATATGAATTGAAATTTAATTGAATCCATGTTGCTTGCCCAAGCATATTTACCATGTGTAAAAGGATATGGACAAGTTTCATGAACCCCAAATGGTAGCAATTGCTCCCCCTATATATGTGCTAAGAGTTTGGATTGTAGCTTGCACATATGCTTAGATAGGAAATATAAGAGTCAATATCTACCACATGATGCTAAGGTATAAAAGATGGACCTTTGAAGTGTGATACCAATCGGAGTGCACCAATATTCCATCCTTAGCACCATGGTTAGCTCAATACCACTTAGAAATATTTGGAAATGAAATCACTAGATATCCTATGCTTGCTAGTTTTCATTTCATTATTCAAACCGACAACTAGCATACACCACACAAGCATAGATATTGAATTTTAAAACTAGTGCCATGCAAGCAAACATATGAAATGCACATTCAATTACACCATACAAGTTTATGAGCTTGCTCCCCCTACTTGTGTGCTCAAAATTTTAGTTGATCCCTTTCCTTTGTCATATCTCTCCCCCTTTATGATATTTCTCCCCCTTTTCACTATCTTTACTACTATCTTTGTTTCTCTCCCCCTTTGTCATCAATGACCACAAAGGTTCAAAATATAGATAGTATTACTTGTAGGGTCGAGATTATCAATGTCAGTCAATGGGATGAGGATCAAAGTTCCGAATTTGGTTCAAACTATAATATATGCCAAAGATATTTAACTTGGTTTGATCCAAGGACAAGCTTCTTCACACCTCCAAATGAGGGTTATCTTGTACCATGTTGAGTTAAACACTTAGAGCTTATTTTCTAGATTAAACACTAGGTTTACAAGCCCACAAACATGTCATATGCTACCACTAGATCAAAATAAGCATAGAAGCAATAGTGATACCATATAAACATCAAATTAATTTGATTTTCATGAATGAGCCTAATAGAATGGAGAAATGACTAAATGCACTAAATATGTCCTTAGCAAGGATGTATGCCATGCCAATCAACTTTTACCTTGGATTGCCCGAAGGAGTGGCATGCCATATAAGTGGGGGGTGCATCAACACATATTTGAGAAATCCAATATGTTCAACTCATTCCTTAGCTTGCAAAACCTTTTCTCATCCAATGGCTTGGTGAATATATCGGCAAGTTGATCTTCG